GTCTGTAAGGCAAAGGGCAGCCTTCATGTCAATAAAGTGAGGAAAGATTTGATTTCAGTTGACAAATCTCCATCCCAAATGTCACTGGCCCCTTTGTTGCATGTAAGAAAAAAATGGTACCTTTCTACATAAATATTTTCATCCTTAAGTTAATTTTTCATGTTTTATTTGGAGAGGCAGTGTTCATTGGCTTGTCATATGCATTAAAGTTTTTTGCGAACGAAAAAACAAGGTATATACTCTGATATAAATAAAATTATGTTGTACTTGAACTACAGTATTGAAATGAAATTACTTGAATTTAAAAATAAATGTTAGCCTGTGCACATCTGGTGACATGGTCAGGGCTTTAAAGTGCTTCTTGGTTCATCTGCACTTGGTTTATCCTCTGTGATCAAAAAATATGTAAATATGTTCTTTTTGTGTTTTTTTTAAGGATGGGCTCCTCGTTCTGCACTTTGGTCTTGTTCTACCTCCTGGATATAAAGAGTGATCAGGAGTGGATTTTCGTCCTGTACTTATTGTTACACTGGCCTCAGCCAATCTGACACCTCTCCAGCGTTCGGTAATGAAGACCAAGAAGATGCAAATTATAGGAAAACTGGGCAAGAACTGGAACCCTGGAAGGAGTCTGTTCATAAAAGATTAATCTCAGTTTCTGTGTGTTCTTTGCTGATTTTGTCCAGGTCCGTTCTCTTCAGGTTCTAATCTACTACTTGGCATGGCGCAGTTCATAGTTATTTTTGCAGCTTCATGGCAAGTAATGTTCCACAGCCTTAGTCATGTTCTCCATCCATTAAAGCTCTTCTCAGGATCTTCTGCTTGCGTTAATACAAATCTGCGTGAAATGTTCCCACATTTTAGTTGTTTAAATCACATTTCTCAATGGTAACGTATACCTTTCAGTGGAATTTTGTGCACAATAGAGCATTATTTTAAGAGCTGATGAAAGCTTACATTACACTATGTGAAGCACCACTTTGACACCCGACACATACTCCTTTTACATTAGTGATGTTGGGGAAGTGCTCCCCTAATGACCTCTACACATGGATGCTACAGCAGAGAAAGCACTTAACAAGATTCCCTTTCCTTGTGTCACTGCAGTGTCCTCATCTCTGAAGTTTACTGTACAAAAATAATAAATAGAAGTTCCTGTTAATGGTTTCTGAAGCAGTCATTTGTAGTAACTGTGTTCTTCCTTTTGGCTCTCTACTATTCTTTCTTCTTTCTTCAGAGTAGACTGGTTGTCTTAGCTAATCTTGCATGCTCATTTGTTTGACTGCAGGGGTTGTTTTGGTAATACAGTACATGAAGACAAGCCGTTTGCAAAGCCATCTCTGAGCAAAGTGGATGTGACTGGAAGGGCTTTTGATCTGTGGGCTGCCAGTCCTTGGATCTGTACTTCAGTCTGAAATTTCACTGGGTCCCAGCTGCTCACCAGGGGTTAGATTACGTTAATTGTCCTTTTCTAAAGGAAGGACATTTACATCAATTATATATGATATGGTATTTAATTATAAGATATTTTTCAAAAGATGCATTCAGAAAAGTGCTGAAAGTAAGAATTTAAGTTATTGATTGCTATCATATAATTCAGTAACTGCTGGTTTTAATCCATTCTTTGTGTGTACTGGAATCTGTTTAAAGATTTATTGTAAGTTTGTCCTCTTAGTTTATCACTCACTGCTACTAAAGCAATATTCAGGGAATGTCAAAATTGCTGCACTGAAAGCTGTGTAATTTGGTTTCAACCAAGCAGACTGCTTGCCATTCCCCCGACGTTCTTTGAAGCTAAGTACATCATATTTTCAGTCTTAAGTGCAATTTCCTATAGTTTTTAGGGTAATCATTTCAGTTATCACTGGAAAAATTTTCTGTTGTTACTTAAAGATGATATTTGGCTCTGTATGATTTCCATAGAAGCTTCACAATTCACAAAGCATGTCAACTTTAAATAACAGAGGTTCCCTAAATAATAGAAACTTTTAGCTTGTATACACAGTATCAATGAGTATGCCAGTGTCTCTAGAAGTGCAAGAATGTACAGTGCCAAGTTCTAGCTCACTTCTTTACAAACTAGACCGAATTAGAACAAGAATATTTTATTTATAATAGCACCATTTTGTTGTTTAAATATGAATTGACCACATTATTGTTTATTTTGATGTCATCCAATGAAATGTCGAGTTCTAAATCAAGGCCACCCATCATTAAAACTCTGGTCCCAAGCAGGTAGATTGTGGATGTGTGGTCTCTCCTGTCGTGCCCACCTGTCGCAGTCATTCTTCGTTGTATACACAGGAACATGAGCGCCAGTTTTCTGAAGCAGTGTGCCTCTCTCTGACGCACTTATAAGCCGGCGGGAGCCTGCCAAGCCCCAAGGATCGCTGTTGCATGGCAAGATGAGTGTTCCCCAGCTGATGCATTCTGCCTTGTGCTGAACCACATGGGGAGTCCTGTCCACGGGCTCTTCATGACCAGGCCCAGGCTCAAGCTGGTGGTATGTGGATTGTGGAGCTCAAGCTTGTCTGTGAATCAGTGGCTTTACTGTTTGAACCACAAAGAAGGTCCCCTGAATGTGTTTTTAGCTATTTCCTTGGAGTCCCATGCTGTCTGCATTACATCTTTATCGTTTTGAATTGTTATAAATACCCCTAACCTAAGGGTATCAGGTGGCCAGTCATACGTATCCCCATTGTGCAATTGATCTTTGTGGGTTAATACATTTTTTATGTTATCTTCCACCAGTGTTTTAGCATACTGTAGTTCTTTGCTTGTTTGAACTGCTTTAACATGTACATTTGTAATGTACAGTACGTCTGCCCACAAAACTATCAGGAGAAAAAAAGACGTAACAGATCACGGCACTAATGTACTAAGTCTTTCTGAAGAGGGGAAAAAAATTCTCAGTGATACTGTTTCTGTATATGAGAAGAATCTTGAATCTCTGGTAGAACCTAGGTACTGGACTTGTCCAAGTGGACCAGTCTTTCAGTTGTTCTGCTACAGATATTACAACATCAAGCCATTATCGGAAAACGACTATTTTTCACACAATGTGCTTTTGTAATTAATGAAGTGTATTTTTGGTTCTGTCAATACTGAAGACACTACTTTATATAAAGAGAACTTGACTAGTGAACCATGGAATGTATTAGTATTGTAAGAGCAAGGTGACGCAATGTGCTATAAATAATCCCATATTCATATGTAGTACACTGACTTCTGACACCCGAAGAAGGCTCCATAGCTGAAACATTGGATTTCATTTCTTCTCTTTTCAGCATGGAATAAACCTTTACTTGTTCCTTCACTGACTTTTATACTGATTGTATGTGGTTCTGTTATTGGTTACTGGAATTCATAGGGAACCCGGAGCTCCCAGTTTCTGAGAACAGCTGTGATACTTTTTTGGCTATCACAGTGCCTCAAATCTAGGTAGTTTAATATTTGACCTTTTTCAGAGTGGACCAAAAATCTTTTTTAAACAAGTGATAAATCAGTGGTTGAACTGATCTGTCTTATCTCTTGTTCAGAAGTGTTTTATCATATTAAATGCATTGAGTTTCTACAGTTTTAATCAAGCAACCAAAAGCTTGTTTTTAGTTCACAATGAGCATGTTTAAATTTTATTAAAAGGCAGTTTGATGTTTACCTGATTATATTGTTCATTAAGATTTTATTAATAAAATAAATGACACCATGGTTATTTAATTTGTTAATCACGACAGCACATATATAACATCTATATACAGTATATACTGTAGATGTAGAAGTCCCTGAAAAACAGAAAGAGCTGTACAGTTGGAATTATTTGAAAAGAAAGAGTCACATGGCAAATAAGAGCTGGGGTCCATGGGCCACACCGATGATAAGAAGTTTGGAAGTACTGAACTAGACACTGGGAGAAAATGCAATCAAGGAGGACTCTACTCAGAGTGCAAAGAGAAATAGTCTGCAGGAAGATGTTGGTGATGACAGCTGCAGAGCAGTCTGTGGAGAAGCCCTGATCCAGCATTCAACTGACGTGTTCAATAAGTGTGCAATTTCTTTTCAGATATGTTGTTGAAATATTCTTAAGGTTCTGTGCATTTTTTCTTTTTAACTGCTAGATGTGTAGATGGCATCTTGTTGCTTTGTGCAAATAAAGCTGGATTTTTAAGGAGTGGAAGCCAGCAAACTCCACTGACTTGCCAGGGAGTCAAGATCTTATTTTCAGCTGTATTTGCAATAGAGAAGTAACTTTCAAGTCATTTTGGAGGAAATCTGAATAGCAGGGATGGCTAACCGTGGTTCTGTAGACCCTCAGTCCAGTAGGCATTATGGGTCTTTCATTATCAATGTCTAAATGAACCAGTCTCATTTTGATCACTTTATGACAAGTTGGTCAGTTACGGAGCCGAGAGATCATGCAAAATGAAAAGACCATCGCCCTGTAGCTCTCAAGGACAACAACTAGACATTCCATAATTGAGCCAATTCAGTTAAAACGTTGATCAAAACCCACATTGTAACCAAGACCTGGTGGATTGTACTTTAGCTCATCAGAATTGGAGCTAGCCACCCTTGCTACATTCTGTATGTTACTTTAGGGAACTTCATTAAGTATGTTCAGTTTTTAATAAATTGAATTCAACTTACTTTATATATAGTATTCATTGGATAATTTATATCTAAAACATAATTGGTGTTCTATAATTATTTGCCTAGCAGAAGTCTTTGCCAGGGTGACTTGCGTAGGTTGAAAAAATGTTTTTCACTCATAATACAATAGTACAATTTAACTATCAGAAATACAGCAAAATACAATCATAGCATAATATAAAAATAAAAAAACCTAAAACAATTAAGAATGTTACAGTATTAAAAGTTATATACACTTCATTGTAAGATACAATTAAAATCGCAATGCGTTTACTAATACGTTTCCTTAATTAAATACATTTCTCCGAGTCGTTTGTGGCACTACTGCTTCTCGGATACAGCATCCTGGGTGTGATCCGGGCCTGTGTGAGGAACTCTGATTGCTTCCCCTGTGTTTCTATGGGCTTTTTTTCCAGGGTGCTGTGCTTTCTGCCCCACTCTCAAAGACTGGAGGCTTGGTTTGAGCAGGTACTCTAAGCTGTCTCTTTCCAGAGAGGAGAAACAACTCATACAGCCAGCGTACTATGAATGAACGGCACAGAGCTATATTACCACAACGGACCCAGTCATCGTTTGTGGTCTTTCTCATATTGTTGCAAGTTATATTGTTTTTGAAGTTCATTTGTTTACTTGCATGGATTTTGCAAAGAATATGACATAGCAATGAATTAATTTGGCACCAGAATTTGCCATCATCCTTTTTGCATTTGGTTGTCATGGTTTGTTGTATTAGTACAATCTGTTTTCAGAAGCAATCCAGTGTAATGAAGGATGAGCACTGTGGAAGCCTGCAATGACAGGTGAGGTGCGAATGTGTCCTTCACTGTAATTAATGGAATATTTCAGCCAGAGGCTTACATGTGACACTGCAAAGTGCTGCTGCCCTGGGTTACTGGGTTGTGCATCCTGAGGATTTAATTTTAAAAAGCTTCCATGCATGTAGGGTTGTCCCAACCAGGTATTTATAAAGATAAAGCATATAACATATTGTATAGTAACCTCCTGGAAACAGTATTTAAGGTGCTGTTTTGCCTGATCTATCCGTACTCAGGAAGTATAAAATTATATTTATACCATTTTTACAACTAGTCCCTTTAAAAAATAGGTCGGAACACCACTAGCAGAATGAGGGAATGGGAGAGGGAGCTCAACCCTGTTAAGACTGCCTATAAATCCAACATCTCAAAAAAAGAAATTTATACTCTGACACCACAGCCGAGTATTACAAATGCAGTACATGTATTTTTAAGCCTTTGTTCTGTTGTCCCAAAAACTTAAAATACAGCTAGTTGTAAATTGGCAATTTGTAAATTTAAAACAGGAATACTGTTCATCTTACTTACTCCAACATACGAAAACCCTACAGGACAAAAATCTAGGCTTTTGAGTTGTGTTCACAAGTGACCCACTGTACTCAAAATTCACTTATATTCTTCATGTATAAAAGGTGAAATGAACCTGTTATGCTGTGTTTGAATATGAACATACCATGAATACCTGCTCTGTTGGTTGTCA